TAATAATAATAGGCTAATGATAATAATAATAATAATAATAATAATAGTAATAATAATAATAGGCTAATGATAATAATAATAATAATAATAGTAATAATAATAGGCTAATGATAATAATAATCCTCCTCCGAGAACCGTCACCTTATCGTGGTGGAGGAGTTTGAATGCCCTAATGACCCTAGGAGCTATGCTGTCGGGGGCATTTAGCCCCTGGTAGGGTTTCCCATGGCAGATTGGTTCTGGGCGAAGGGTCAGACGAAGAACGGTTCAAAAGACCCTTCATGATGGATACAAACAAGGACACATGTACCTGGCCCGGAGGGTTACCGGGGCCCCGCCCTGGACCCAGGCCTGGGGTTGGGGCCCGTGGGCGAGCGCCTGGTGGTCGGGCCTTCGCCCATGGGGTCCAGCCGGGCCCAGCCCGAACCGGCTACATGGGCTCGTCCCCCTGCAGACCCACCACCCGCAGAGGGATCCAGAAGGGTTCGGTGCAGTGTGGATTGGGCAGCAGACCAAGGCGGGGACCTTGGCAGTCCGATCCTCGGTTACAGAAGTTGGTTCTTGGGACATGGAATGTCACCTCTCTGGCGGGGAAGGAGCCGGAGCTTGTGGAAGAGGTTGAGCGCTACCGGCTAGATATAGTCGGCCTCACCTCGACACATAGTTCCAGCTCTGGAACCCAAGTCCTTGAGAGGGGTTGGACTCTCTCCTTCGCGGGAGTTGCTCTGGGTGAGAGGCGGAGGGCCGTTGTTCTGCTGGGGGACTTCAATGCTCACGTGGGCAATGACAGTGGGACCTGGAGAGGCGTGATTGGGAGGAACGGCCTGTTCAGTTATTGGACTTCTGTGTGGGTCGCAGTTTGGCGATAACTAACACCATGTTCAAACATAAGGATGTCCATCAGTGCACGTGGCACCAGGACAGCCTAGGTCGCAGGTCAATGATCGACTTTGTAGTCGTATCATTTGACCTGCGGCCATATGTTCTGGACACTCGGGTGAAGAGAGGAGCAGAGCAGTCAACTGATCACCACCTGGTGGTGAGTTGGATCAGATGGTGGAGGAAGACGCCGCGCAGACCTGGCAGGCCCAAATGAACAGTGAGGGTCTGCTGGGAACGCCTGGCGGAAGAAACTGTCCAGATGATCTTCAACTCCCACCTCCGGGAGAGCTTCGACCGCGTCCCGAGGGCGGAGGGGGACATTGAGTCCAAATGGGCCTTGTTCCGCGACACTGTACAGCAATCAAAGAAAACAATAAAAACACAGATAATGAAATGGAACAATGCAGTTAAAGAGGATGATGACTTGAACAGTGGCCAGAGTCGATGTTACAGATGTCTGGTGGGAGTCATTTCCAGAGTTGGGGAGCAGAGCGACTGAAGGCTCTGAGGCGGGCGGAGGGCACAGAGAGGTGGATGGAGAAGGAGGATCTGAGGGAGCGGGAGGAGGTGGCAATGTGGAGGAGATCCGACAAAAAAGGAGGGCGAGGTTATGGATGGCCTTGACCACCAGAACCTTCCTAATGACCACCAGAACCTTCTTAATCTTAATGACCACCAGAACCTTCCTAATGACCACCAGAACCTCCCTGATGACCTCCCTGATGACCACCAGAACCTCCCTGATGACCACCAGAACCTCCCTGATGACCACCAGAACCTTCTTAATGACCAACAGAACCTCTCTAATGACCACCAGAACCTTCCTGATTACCACCAGAACCTTCCTAATGACCAACAGAACCTCCTTAATGACCAACAGAACCTCACTGGTGACCACCAAAACCTCCCTGGTGATCACCAGAACCTTCCTAATCACCACCAGAACCTCCCTTATGACCAACAGAACCTTCCTAATGACCAACAGAACCTCCCTAATGACCAACAGAACCTCCCTTATGACCAACAGAACCTTCCTAATGACCAACAGAACCTCACTGGTGACCAACAGAACCTCCCTTATGACCAGCAGAACCTCCCTGGTGACCACCAGAACCTCCCTGATGTCAAACAGAACCTCCCTTATGACCACCAGAACCTTCCTAATGACCAACAGAACCTCACTAGTGACCACCAGAACCTCCCTAATGACCAACAGAACCTCCCTAATGACCACCAGAACCTCCCTGATGACCACCAGAACCTCCCTGATGACCACCAGAACCTCCCTGATGACCACCAGAACCTCCCTGATGACCACCAGAACCTCCCTGATGACCACCAGAACCTCCCTGATGACCACCAGAACCTCCCTGATGACCACCAGAACCTCCCTGATGACCACCAGAACCTCCCTGATGACCACCAGAACCTCCCTGATGACCACCAGAACCTCCCTGATGACCACCAGAACCTCCCTGATGACCACCAGAACCTCCCTGATGACCACCAGAACCTCCCTGATGACCACCAGAACCTCCCTGATGACCACCAGAACCTCCCTGATGACCACCAGAACCTCCCTGATGACCACCAGAACCTCCCTGATGACCACCAGAACCTCCCTGATGACCACCAGAACCTCCCTGATGACCACCAGAACCTCCCTGATGACCACCAGAACCTCCCTGATGACCACCAGAACCTCCCTGATGACCACCAGAACCTCCCTGATGACCACCAGAACCTCCCTGATGACCACCAGAACCTCCCTGATGACCACCAGAACCTCCCTGATGACCACCAGAACCTCCCTGATGACCACCAGAACCTCCCTGATGACCACCAGAACCTCCCTGATGACCACCAGAACCTCCCTGATGACCACCAGAACCTCCCTAATGACCACCAGAACCTTCCTAATGACCACCAGAACCTCCCTGATGACCAACAGAACCTCCTTGATGACCAACAGAACCTTCCTAATCACCACCAGAACCTTCCTGATGACCACCAGAACCTCCCTGATGACCACCAGAACCTTCCTAATGACCACCAGAACCTCCCTAATGACCACCAGAACCTTCCTAATGACCACCAGAACCTCCCTGATGACCAACAGAACCTCCTTGATGACCACCAGACCCTTCCTAATAACCACAAGAACCTCCCTGATGACCACCCTGATGACCACCAGAACCTCCCTGATGACCACCAGAACCTCCCTAATGACCACCAGAACCTTCCTAATTACCAACAGAACCTCCCTTATGACCACCAGAACCTCCCTAATGACCACCAGAACCTCCCTGGTGACAAACAGAACCTCCCTGGTGACCACCAGAACCTCCCTGGTGACCACCAGAACCTCTCTAATGACCAACAGAACCTCCCTGATGACCACCCTGATGACCAACAGAACCTCCCTGATGACCACCCTGATGACCACCAGAACCTCCCTGATGACCACCAGAACCTTCCTAATGACCACCAGAACCTCCCTGATGAACACCCTGATGACCACCAGAACCTCCCTGATGAACACCCTGATGACCACCAGAACCTCCCTGATGACCACCAGAACCTCCCTGATGACCACCAGAACCTCCCTGGTGACCAACAGAACCTCCCTGGTGACCAACAGAACCTCCCTGATGACCACCAGAACCTCCCTGATGACCACCAGAACCTCCCTGGTGACCAACAGAACCTCCCTGGTGACCAACAGAACCTCCCTGATGACCACCAGAACCTCCCTGGTGACCAACAGAACCTCCCTAATTACCACCAGAACCTCCCTGGTGACCAACAGAACCTCCCTAATTACCACCAGAACCTCCCTGATGACCAACAGAACCTCCCTGGTGACACCAGAACCTACCTAATGACCAACAGAACCTGCAGAGTTATGCATTATGCATTACATTATGCAGAGTTCATTATGTTTTTTACTTTGTGCTTTGTTTTCTCAGAAGGTGAACTCTCTGCAAAGACAATAAATTCAATTAGAACCTCATCTGTGACCATTATAACCTTGATGACCACAAGTCTTATGTACATTTGTATTTAATTCTTGTTTGAACAGGTGGCTTCACTGTTCTAAAAGTCTCAAAAAATGTTGATAAAATGTTGGAAAACTATTTTTAAATTGCCCACCAAAATGTTCAAAAAATGTCAGAAAAAGATGTGAACAAAATGCCAAAAAAAGTGTTGATAAACTGTAAAATTATTTAAATGTCTGAAAAAAATGTTAAAATATTGTCCATAGACCATTATTAAAATGTCTGAAAACATGATGATTAAATGTCCAAAAAACATGATACAAAAATGTCCAAAAAAATGTTGACAAAATGTCGGAAAAATATTATTAAATTGTCCAACAAAATGTTTCAAAAATGTCTGGAAAACTGTCAATGTTATGTCCAAAAATATTTTGAAAACAATGTTGTTGAAATATCCAAAATATATTAGTGTTCAAGAAAAAATGTTAATAAAATGTTTACAAGATGTTAACAAAATGTCCGAAAAAGTGTTGATAAAATGTCCAACAATATTTTTATAATGTCCAAGAAAAAATGGTGATTGAACGGCCAAAAGATGTGGACACAGGTCCTTGTGTCTACTGTTGGTGGGTCTTCTTGTGGTTGGTGTTGGATGGTGACGGTGTTTGGCTGAGAGGAACTCACCATGACGAGGACATCAACTCACCTGTCTTTAAACTCTCCTTGTCCTGACTTTCAGCTAGCTGCTGGCTAACAGTGTGGTTACTTTTTACATGGTAACGTAAAAATTGTCACTTTAAAGATGAATAAGGTCCGTAGGTTAAACATATTTACAGTTGGGAAATATGAGCATTTTGTCAGGCCTCCAATACTGATAGTCAACTGATCAACCAATCACAGCCCTCTGACATCATCAGCATGCTGCCGCTGTGCTTCTTTAAAAATTCTTTGGTGCTTTTTCTGAGCTAAGCTTATTTTACTCACACTGACCGAAATGTATGAGCTGCTGTAGGGTTAGTGAGTTAGCTTGCTAACTAGGTAGGCTATGCTAACAAGTAAACGTGCCAATGGACTAGTATATTAGCAAGTTAGCTTGTTAAAATGGCCTACCTAGTTAGCAAGCTAAATCACTAACCCTACAGCAGCTCGTAAGGATTTCGGTCAGTGTTTCTGTGGATGGAAAACTAGCTTAGCTCAGAAGACGCACAAAGGAATTTTTAAAGAAGCACAGCGGCAGCATGCTGATGATGTCAGAGGGCTGTGATTGGTTGATTGCAATGTTGATTCAGGAACACGTCGTACTTAGCAAAGTCATGTCGTGCATATTCTCATAAATATATAAATACACAGGTTATATAAACACACAGTGAATATCTGCCTCGTCTTGTTATTTGTGTGACGGTTGTGGCTGTTGGTCTGTCAGCGGTTCGTCCTCCTGACGGCCTCACTGAGCTTGGACAGCTGATCTTAAGTCAGCTCTCACTCACTCACACTGATGGTTAAAAGTCTTCACATGGAGTCACAGCTGCAGTGACTCATCAGTTTATTGACTGACAAAAAAACAACCAGTGACTATTTTACCGATCAGTCCAGTGAATGGATTCTCTCGGCTGAAATGATGAGGGGCTTTTAATTTAAAACAGAAACAGGAAGTGTTGAGTTTGAAATGACAGTGTGACGCAGTAAAGATGATTTTCAGGATGAGTGTAGTGTTCAGTTATTAGCAGGAATTATGGAGCAACCTTTTTTTTTTAACAGCACTTCAGGTTTCAGATTTTCAAGGTAGAAATGTTGGACTTTTACTTTGAAATATCTCTAAATACTGATCCAGACCAAATATGTGAGTTTTGTGTCTGTGTCATCAGACATGTCGTCAACATCAGGAAAAATATTTTTTATTTTTATTTCCAGCAAAACAAAAATCACAGAATAAAGACATGTCTGTTGCGCGTTCGTGGTTTTTACTTTTTAATTTATAATTAATAATTCGGGGCGTCGGTGGCTTAGTGGTAGAGCAGGTGCCCCGTGTAAAGGGCTGTTGCCGCAGCAGCACGGGTTCGACTCCAGCCTGTGGCCCTTTGCTGCATGTCATCCCCCCTCTCTCTCTCCCCCTCTCACACTTACTTGTCCTGTCCATTAAAGGCCAAATGGCCCAAAAAATATCTTAAAAAAAAAAAATCATTTTACACTTCCTCTTAATATAATCCAATCAATCACATTTCCATAACACCTTATTTTGAAAACAGAACATAGTCACACATCATCCCGCCAACTTTGCTTAGTCTGCTGCTAGCTTCCTGTCAGCTCGATGAAGGCATTATTCACTGTAACACAAATTAACATCACTATATGGTTTCACTAGTGTTAGCATTAGCCAGTCCCTTCAGTATTTCGCAGCAGCTTTTTTCGGGATAGTTGCGTCCTAACAAAAATTGTAATGAAAGTTGTGATGAAACGATGCCAGTGGGTGGCGCTATCACCATGACACCTAAACCTGGAGCCTAATAAATATATATTTCAATACATATTTCATACATGTAGGTGAAACCAGCTTCGGGGGCTGCGTCGAGAGGGTCTTGGCAACTACTTGCTGTCGGTGCTCTGGCGCCAACAAACTAACGTTACTTCCAACCGCACACATTTAATTGAACGTACATTCTGGATGTGACAGCTTCTGTCATGGTGATTCGTCTCGTCTGTGCTCCGCCAGTTTGTGCCGTTCTCCGAATAAGTTTGGCGGTAGATTGAATTTGCGTTACTTGTTGTGATCACAACATCACGTGTTCCTGGAGGGGACTGGTTAGTTGATATGACCACAGAAATTAGCGTTCTGCTACATTACTGTTGAGCTGTAGTTGGTTAGCTTCCTTGCTAACACTGCTAGCAGACATGATAAGCATGAATTGCCGTACGTTTGACGCCCCTGGATAAGACATTCAAGTACTCTGATAGACAAATAATTTTTCTGTGGTAACACACTAAATCTCTTTGTGTCCTGGAACATCTGATTGTCAACATTTCCCAGATTTAACAATCAATCAATTAACGTAGAAAATAGTCCATGTGATTTCTGAAACAGTTCTGTCTCTATCGACGATCAGTCAGCAGTGATGAACTCTTATCCTGCATCACGTCCGGACCGCGCACAGCTTCACTTCCTGTCTCAGCAGCGGCATGTTGCACCATGTGTCGCTTCATGTTAGACACCTGCGTGAAGCTTCTCCCACAGATGGAGCAGCTGAAGGGTTTCTCTCTAGTCTCCCCTGTGTGCTGAACCATGTGTCGTTTCAGGTTCCCGCCCTGTGTGAATCTGACGCCACAGACAGAGCAGCTGAATGGTTTCTCTCCCGAGTGCGTCCTCAGGTGTTTCTTCAGAGCACCGCTTGCTGTGAAGCCTTTAGCGCAAATGGAGCAGCTGAAGGGTTTCTCCCCCGTGTGGATCCTCATGTGAGCCTTCAAGTTGTGCTTGTGGTTGAATCTGTTGCCACACTGCCAGCAGCGAAACGGTTTCCCTCCCGGTTCTGTCTCCAAGTTGTCCTCCGTTTGGCTCTCGTCGAGCTCCTGCTGCTCGCCACCGCACTTGTGTCGCCTAAACCCCGAAAGCCACGTGAACTTTTTGTCACAAATGCTGCAGCTGAACTGTTTCTCTCCCGTGTGGACAGCCATGTGTTGAGTCATGTGAACCTTCTGCGTGAAACCTTTACTGCAAAATGGGCAGCTGAACGGTCTCTCCCCCGTGTGGAGTCTCTCGTGAGTCTTCAGGTTCACCATCCGGCCGAATCTCTTCCCACACTGAGAGCAGCTAAATGGTTTCTCTCCTGTGTGACTCGTCATGTGGCCCAGCAGCGACCGCTTGCAGCCGAAGGTTTTTCCACAGTCGGAGCAGCTGAATGGTCTCTCTCCAGTATGGATCCTCATGTGAGTCTGCAGGTGTTCCTTACGGCCAAATATTTTCCCGCAGTCGGAGCAGCTGAAGGTTTTCCTGCCAGTGGAGTTTGATCTGGTCTCCGTCCAGGTACAGTCCCGAAATTCTCCGGCCTTGGCACCAGTGTCTGGTTGTAAATCTGGATGTGAGTTCCTGGCTGGTTCTGGTCCTCCACAGTCCTCTGAGTAGGCTTCAGAAGAGTCTATGGACACTGGTCGTACTCTTCCTCCGGGCACTGGGCCTACTTCTCCTCCAGGCACTGGGTGTACTCCTCCACAGTGGTCTCCATCAGCTTCTGTTTCTACCTGTGAGGACTGAGGTTCATCTTCATCATCCTCACTCTTCATGGGAAAAGGACTGAGCATGGACTCTCCTGGCTGGTCCTGGCTGCCCCACAGTTTAGGACGCTGAGCAGACTCTCCGCCACACTTGTGTCTCTTGAGCTGATAAAGCCAAGTGAACCTCTTGCCGCAGATGTCGCAGCCGAACCTGTTCTCTTTGGTGTGGACAGACATGTGCTGTGTCAGATGTCCTCCATGTTTAAAACTCTTCCCGCAGACGGAGCAGCTGAACGGTCTCTCTCCGGTGTGGATCCTCATGTGGATGTTAAGGTTGTCCTTGCGGCTGAAGATCTTCCCGCACTCGGAGCAGCTGAACGACTTCTCTCCCGTCTCTGCATCTCTGCTGTCCTCTATCTGACTCTGGTGATGCTGAGAGGACTCACAGGTGCACTGGTGACTCTTGAGCTGAGTGTACCAGGTGAATCTTTCGTTGCAGAAATGACAGCTAAAACGTTTCTCACCCGTGTGGATGGACATGTGATAGGTCAGGTTGACTTTCTGGGTGAAGCTCTTCCCGCAGAAGGGGCAGCTGAATGGTTTCTCTCCGGTGTGTGTCCTCATGTGGATCTTCAGGTGCGGACTGCGGCCAAAGATCTTCCCACACTCAGAGCAGCTGTAAGTCTTTTTACTGGCTCTAATTCTCGTACCGCCGGCAGGGACTTTGATAATCTTCAGGGAGTTTAAAACCGACTGAGGTTCTCTGTTCTCCATCCAACCATCATCATCATCATCATCATCATTACTGAGATCAGTCTTTAACTCCAAAGAGTGTGACGTCTTGGTGTCAAGTTCAGGTTGGAAATGTGCTTCTGACGGACTGCTCCACAGTTCCTCCTCTTCCTCTTTAATGTGTGGGGGCTCTGGGTCCTCCTGGTCCACACTGGAGCTCCACTCCTGCTGCTCAGGGGGAACCTCTTCTTTAACCACCAACAGCTGCTGCTGGACCTCTGCGGTGGGACAAAGACACAGAGAGACCAATACGTCATGGAAATCTGAACAAGAACAAAGGTTCTTTTTAGCATTTTGAGCATTTGAGGTCAACAACTCTCTGAAAGAACCCGTCCTAACCGCCTTGGAAGAGCAAATTTAAGGTGTGGAAATGAGACTGAAAAGCAATATGGAAGGAGATGAGCTCGGGCAGGCTCCGGACATGACAGAGGACAAATCACCAAGGTGAGCAGCAGCAGCGAAGAAAGTTCTGAGAACAATGGTGAGACTGGGAAGTCTAGTGAAGTTTTGGCTAACTCTGGCATGCGGGCCGTCTACAATGAGATCCGGGCACTACGATCAGATTTTAAAAGTGATGTGAGTGATTTCTGACTTTCTATTCGTGTAGACATGAGGAAGGAGTGGAATGAGTTTCAGGAAGAATCAACCAGAAAGGCGACCTGCAGGTGATGGAGGTAGAACATGCCTGGGCGCCGCAGCACTGAAGGACCAAGAGGATCTCCAAGCAAAGCTAACCAACTTAGAGGCTCGTTTACACCATAACAACCTTCGCATACGTAGAATGCCAGACGGATCTGAGGGGACTGATCCACTGGAATTTGTGGTGAGGCTTACAAAATCAGAACTTGGGCCCACCACTACCCTACATAGACCCTGAGTGCCACCTGGCACTAGGGCTGCCACTAAGGATTATTTTCATTGTCGACTAATCTGTCGATTATTTCTTCGATTAGTCTACTAATCATTTAATCGAAAAATGTGTTAAAATGTTGAAAAATGTTGGTCTGTCTCGCCCAAACCCCAAAATTACGTCATCTAATGACTTGTTTCGTACTCACGCCGAAGGATGTTAGTCCACCGTCACGGGAGAGTGTGTAAAGCTGCCAATATCTGAACTTAAGAAGCTGCAGTAAGAGTATTTTGGGGTACTTTTATAGTACTTTTCTATGAAAAATGACTCAAACCGATTAGTCGACTACTAAAATATTCACCGATTATTTTAATAGTCGATTAGTCATTGATTAGTCGACTAATCGTGGCAACCCTACCTGGCACAAAGCCTCCCCATGATGCACAACCCAGATCACTGGTGATCTGCTTCCTGGAATATAACAATACCCATAACTAATGAGAACACTGTCCAACATGCCTCTGCCTGAAGAACCTCAAGTCTGACATCCTCAAGGACCAACAGAACCATGCAACATCCATGAGAACCCCAAACAACTTCAACCAGACACCTCATGAGGACCAACAGCTGACTGAGCCAATATGAGAGAAAAAAAACAACTAAAAATTCCAGCCAAACTGTTTGAGAGATTTAGTGGATTTCTTAAGATTTGAGTTTGGGGAAACCCGGAGCACTCTTCCAAAGCAAATTCCAAATATCTGTTGCAGGAACAAACAGCTTACGGAGCAGCGGAAATCATATACTACACCCTACATGCTCAGCGTATCCTCATAGAACAGTTTGTGTGATATCCTATGAATCTGCACCCCATAAATGATGCTACTATTTTAACGTGCAGTTACATAATCAACATAAAGTTACAGAGGTTAGGTTCACACAGATCCAAACACGTGACTCCAGGGGAAAGTTCCATCCACCCCAACCTGCCTCCTTGCAAGCACTCAGGACTGCTTTCTTGTTTACTGCCGTCAGCATATTGGTCATGCAGCCTTTTAAAATATGTAGAATATGTATGAATTGGGGTGCATTCGTTTTCACAGGAAAACACATAAAGATGATTCAGGAAGGTAGCAAAGGTACCGAGCGCGTCATATTTTAGGGTCTACTGACAAAGTGGGATAACTTAGGATGAGGACGTGTTGGACATGCAGGAATGGGACATTCACTGAAGGATGTCTGAGGCATCATGGAGACAGAGACCCCTCTGCTTAACATGTACTAGTACCTGAGCCTTCATCATCTTCACTCTTCACAGGGACAGGAGTGAATGTGAACTTGGTGATATCAGCCTCCTCCAGCCCTTGAAGCTGCTCTCCCTCCTGACTGCTCCACAGTTCCTCCTCTTCCTCTTTAATGTGTGGGGGCTCTGGGTCCTCCTGGTCCACACTGGAGCTCCACTCCTGCTGCTCAGGGGGAACCTCTTCTTTAACCACCAACAGCTGCTGCTGGACCTCTGCACCAAACAGGAAACACAGACAAATTGTCATTTGATGCCAGGTGAGCAACCTGACAGGCTGCAGGATATAGTGCCCACACAACTTTATTTTCACACATTTTATTTAAATACATTTAAATATTATTTTTGGACATTTTATCAAACAATTTTGAGACATTTGATTAATATTTCTTTCCAGACTTTTTATTAATATTATTCAGACATTTCAATAATATTCCTCTGATGTTTAATAGTCATTTTTTGACATTTTTCAATATTTTTTGGACAAATTTTATCAGCCACTACATTAACATTATCTTTGGACATTCCTGTGACATTTTATCAGCATTTTTTTCAACGTTTTGTCAGTTTTTGGGGGGATATTTTATATTTAATGAGATTTTTTTCAGACAGTAAATCAACATTTTCTACTGACATTTTTTTGGACATTTTATCAACATTTTTTTCCGACATTTCATGAACATTCTTTTTTAAATTTAATCAACATTTTTCTGACTTTTTCAAAATATTTTCAGGACATTTTATCAAAAGTCTTTCTGATATTTTTATAACATTTTTAGGACATTTTATTAACATTGTTTTCAGACTTTTCATAATAGTTTTCATACATTTTTATAATTTTCCTCTGACGTTTCTTCAACATTTTTTACTTTTTTTGGAAAATTTTATAAACATTTTCTCAGACTTTTTTTCCAGACATTTCAGTAAAAGTTCTCTCAGTGTTTTATCAGCATTTTTTCTTTTTTCGAACTTTTTATTAATGTTTTTTGGACATTTTAATAATATTTCTCTGACATTTCATCAGCATTTTGTGGATGTTTTTACTTTTTGGGCAACTTGATCAACATTCTATCAGACATTTTTTTTATTTAAGACATTTTAACATTTTTTTTCCGTCATTTTATCAGCATTTTTTCAGATGTTTTGTAAATTTTTTGGGATATTTTATGTTGAATGAACATTTATTCAGACACTGAATTAATACTTTCTTCAAACATTTTTTTCAGATTTTTTTTTAATTTTTGGAACATTTTATCAAAAAATTTTCAAACTTTTTTAAAATATATTTGGGACATTTTAAAAAAAAAAAAATTTCAGACTTTTTTCCCCCAGATGTTTCAATAACATTTTTTTTCAGACATCTAATCAAAATTTTCTTTGGACATTTTTGACACCGTTTTTGGGCAATTTTTTCAACATTCTTTTTCAGATTTTTTTTTCTTTTCAAAATAC